TCATCTCATCTCATCTCATCTCATCTCATCTCATCTCATTTCATCTCATCTTAACTCATCTCATATCAGCTTATATAATCTCATCTCATCTCAACTCAACTCATCTCACCCAAACACACTATTGCAGCATCCCATCCCCCGCCTTATCAGCCCAACACAGTCGGCCAGCCCCTTGTGCTCTGGTGAGCCCCTGAAATCCAGCGGCTTTGTGGAGAACTCTGTTGTAGCAAGCATCACTACCCCATCCCCTGCTTTGCACAAATTCGGATTGGCGCAGCTTGTCTTCGGCCCCACTGCCACCTCTCGCCAGTCTACAGGGGACCGTCAATCTGGCGATCCTGCTAGTCCGATCTCTTCGACTGCCGACATCTCCTCTACTTCTCAGCCTGGTGTAGCCTCAGACGCCGAAGTTTTGTCAAGCCGCTACCTCGATTCCCGTCCAGCTGGGCACATCGGGTCCAAGACGACTCCGTCAGACGGTGAGGTGGAGTTGCACGATCGACCTCTGCTCTTATCTTCCACCGACACCATCGACACGGGGACTCGAACTTGGCCGACCGATTCACCAAACGGGCCAGTTTCATCCGGTGAACCGGACTCCATGTTGCGGACAGTCGGTGTAACCGCAAGTGATAGCCACGACGACACAACCAGCCTCGCCTACATTTTGGCCCGGCGTCACTCGCGTTTGGTACAATCGCCCAACAGCCAACCCTCCACCGGGTTTGCCCAACCATTAATGGCTTCGAGTCTATGCTGCGGGCCGAAGACAGCCTCAGTCAGACCCGCCCATCTCGATTCTGTCAAAACATCCGCCACAAAACTCACGAACCTGCCCAACTACGGCAGACGAGCAGGCACCTCGACAACTGCCGCCTCAAAGCTGCTACACAACCACCTGAAGAGACCCGTAGTCGGCGCTTCTTGTCCGGGACAGGTTGTGAAAGCGAGGCTGGCTACTTTTCCGCTCGCCCCACTCGGACCCATCGACAGTGTTTGTCCGCTTTCCACAACCAGTCCGTCAGTCTCCATACCTTCGAGTCCCGCCACGGAGCGGACTCGGAGCAACGGAGTAGCCGTTGCTGGAACGCGGTTTCCCGGCCTCTCGGCAACTTCTTCTCTTTGCACATCTGCTTCATCGACATTGTCAAACCACGCTTTTTCAGGGCCAGCCTCGTCCAGGAGCCTACAGCTCAGCATTGCCTTCAACCAGTTGATGAAGTCATTTATGCCGGCGTCGACGGCCGTCTATTCACCACAGCCATCGCCTCCACTTGCATCACAGCCGGACCCATCGACAATGACAAAATTTGCCTCTGAAAGACTCGTCGACGGCCTGACGACACATTCTATAAAGCCACCTTTTCTGTCGGGAAACGGATCCGACTGGCTCCGAAAAGAGCAAATCGAATGGGAGCCACGAAGTGCAGGGCGATCCAGCCTGATGAACAGGACAGAGGCCAGACTGTTCAGTGAACATCACGGGTGAGAACATTAAATTGTCACTTTTTACATTATTACTCACTCATATTTAAGTAGGCATGAGAAGTAACGTTGAAAACTAACTAACATGACAATGCTTTAGCAGTACACCATAGCAGGAAAGGGCAATTATTATGTCAGACATTTGGTGGGCTCGGAAAGTTAAACTTGGAGAAAAGGGGTAGAAATAGGGATTTCCTTTTGTGCCGTATTTT